ATATATATATATATGTATATACACTATGAGAACAATGGAAATTATCCGACGTCGACTTTCTCTCCCTCTTATTGTTCCTTCAGCGCGAGAAGACCGAAGCCCTTCTCGAAGAACCATGACTATTCGGACAGCAGACACCCCAGTGATTGCCAACTTTCACTCGCCAGCCTCACCCACAGTACGCTTTCAAAACCCCAGAGACTCCACGGACGCCCGTCCTAAAGCGGCCTTAACAACATTGACACTCTTGGGTGTTATCTACACAGCGAGTATTAGTGGTGGGTATGGTCTGGAAGAGTCGGTGAGCGCGGGTGGGCCACTTCTTAGCATCATATTTCTCTGCATTATTCCATTTGTGTGGGGTATACCCGTCTCTTTGTGTGTAGCAGAGTTATCTTGTGCTATTCCATCAAATGCAGGTCCTATAATGTGGGTAAATGTAACCTTCGCTCCATGGTTTACATTTTGTACTGTCCTATGGACAGCCTTTTTAAATTTTGTGGATAACAGTTTGTATCCAACTGTACTTGCGGACTACAGTGGAGCTCTTCTACATTTAAACTTTTTAGAAAAAGCTATAATAAAAGTGGTATTTTTATGGACTTGTGCACTTATTAATATGGTGGGGGTTTACCTTGTTGGGGCATTCAGCGTAGTAGTAATGCTCATAACATTATTACCCTTCCTTCTTATGTTTCTGTTACAACTTCCTCATGGATTTGATTGGGAAAGAATTTCCTATATACCTCCACAAATTAATTGGTCAGTATTTCTTCCAGTTGTCGCCTGGAATTTTTCTGGATTTGATAGTGCCGGTAATGTTATTGAAGAGGTAAGTAATCCCCATCAAACCTTTATTCGAGCCTTAGTATTAATGATTATTTCTGCATTGGCCACTTATATTCCTCCTATTTTAGTAGGAGCAAGCGCTGAAGCCCTAAAAGATACTCCTTTTGATAAATGGGGTAATGGATTTTGGGTAAAAGTAGGAGAAGCAGTTGGTGGATACGGTATGGGAATTGTTGTGATGATTGGAGGTACTATCTCTACTGTTGGTTTAATGACGACATTATTAACAACAACATCACGTTCATTAGCAGGAATGGGAACACTTAATGCGTTTCCCTATATTTCTTCATGGTTATCACGTTATCATCCCAAGTATGGTACTCCTATTAATGCAATAATTGTCAATACGACAATAACATGCATTCTTTCGGTATTTCTTTCTTTTGAAACACTTGTTGAATTAGATCAAATTTTGTACTCTTTACGTCTGATAGCAATTCTATTAGTTTTTTTGAGACTACGTTTCAAACAACCATTTTTAGAACGTCCTTATAAGGCGCCTGGGGGTTTTATTGCCTCACTCTTTTGGGGTGGTGTACCTATTCTATTTAGTACTTTTCTCATAATAGCTTCTATGTTTGGTAGTTTCTTGCTCTTTTGGAGTACCATTGTGCTAGTTATAGGGACCATCGTCATCTCCTACTTGGGTGTGCGCTACTTTAAACCAGAGGGATTTGAGGGAAAACTAGTAGAGGAATATGAAGATTCGGATATGCAAACGTACGGAACTGTTTTGGTTTCGGAGTCTAATGAATGGCGTAAGATGCATCCACACCATACTTTTATTGACCATCTCGACAGGGAAGAAACCGTGAAATAATATATACGATAATGAAAGGAAGCGTAATAATTATGATAATAATTAAGTGGTGTTGTGAAGAGAAAAAGAAGAATGAACTTTGAAAATGTGAATGTTTATATATTTATATATTTATATATTTATAACAAGGGCTATTATGCACAAAAAAAAAAAACCTTCGTTTCGCGGTAGTGCGTTTTTTTTTTTTTTTTTCGTGTTTTTTTACTTTATGTATGTCTTCATTATCAGATAAACAAAAAGAAAAATAGTAATAATAGCAATAATGTTATTTTTCTTCTTTTTTTGGTCTGTTTGTTTCTGTGTTAATAAAAAACCAAGGTTTGTTCTTCAATATTGTGGCCTTGAATGTGTTCTCTTCTCACACACCGTGTATCTTTTTTTCGTGTTTTTAGTATGCTTCTAACTAAGTCTCTGTTTTTTTTTTTTTTTTTATTATATTCTTAAGGTTTTCAGTACATACTGATCCGTTTGTTCACCAGTCCCACTTTTTACAACGTTGGTCTATATACATGTATTATATATTATGTATATATATATATTTTTTTTTTTTTTCTTTATTTTTCCTTATCATTGTTTTTATTTTTACTTGTTTTAGTCCTAGTGATTCTTCTACGTTGTCGTTGGAGCAAGCAAACAAACAGTAAATAAAAAAGAGAAAACAAGTGTTAATTTCCTTTTTTTTTATATAAGCAAACTATAAAAACCCAAACCAGAAATCATGTCTGTTACTAAGAAGCCATGGGATGCCCGCTATGTTAACCCGGATGTGCCCCACACATCATCTTACTATCTTAAGTGTATGGGTGGTGGTGTTCTCTCCTGCGGCCTCACACACACCGCCGTCTGCCCACTCGATGTGGTGAAGTGCAACATGCAGGTGAGCCCCGAGAAGTTCAAGGGCATCTTCTCCGGCTTCCGTGTGGTGTTGGCGGAGGACGGCTGCGGCTCAAAGGGCATCTGGAAGGGATGGTTGCCAACATTCTTCGGTTACTCCATGCAGGGTGCCTTCAAATTTGGCTTCTACGAGGTGTTTAAGGATCTCTACGCCAACCTCGCAGGTGAGAAGATCGCAAAACAGTACGAGGGACTCATTTGGCTCGCCGGCTCCGCAAGTGCAGAGTTCTTCGCCGATATGGCGCTCTGCCCAATGGAGATGCTGAAGGTGAAGGTGCAGACATCACCAAGCGGTACATTCCCCACAGGCTTCGGTGCCGCTCTCGCCGCTATTCGGGCAGACAAGAACTCCGGATTCCCCTTCAAGTCCCTCGTGCCACTGTGGTCTCGCCAGATTCCATACACCATGGCGAAGTTCTACTTCTTCGAGCGTGTCGTGCGTCTCTTCTACGCCCACGTTTTCACGAAGCCAAAGGAGGAGTACAGCAAGGCAACTCAGCTCAGTATCACGTTTGCTTCCGGTTACATTGCCGGTATCGTCTGCGCAATTGTTTCTCACCCTGCAGACTCTCTCGTATCTGCACGTGGAAAGGCCTCTAACGCTGGCAAGTCATACGGTCAGATTGCCTCTGAAATGGGATACTTGAACCTCTGCACAAAGGGACTTGTGGCGCGTATTGTGATGATCGGCACTTTGACAGGCCTGCAGTGGTGGATGTACGACTCGTACAAGAGTGCACTCGGTCTTGGTACCAGCGGTGGTGGTGCCAAGAAGGCCAAGGAATAAGAGTAGTAAATATTTGCTGAGGTTGAGAGGGGGATAGGGAATTTAAGAAGAGGGGGTATATTTACTATTTCCTTCTTTTTTTCTGTGTGTTTTTTTTTTTCATCTTTAGGGCTTCGTTTCTCTGTTCTTCTTTTTTTTCATCTTTTTTTGCCTACTGAGGGGGGAATGGATGTGTAGATGGTGTTTCCTTTGCTATCCCAGGTTTGCTGTTACTTCCACGGTGGATAGATCTGTTACTTTCTACACATTTCTCAATTTACCCAACCTCCTTTGGTGTATGTGGTCTATGATGCTTTATGATTCTGACGTAACGTGTTGTTTTCGTGTTTTTTTTTTTTTTAACCATTAACTTCAGATATGATAAACAAGAGAAACAACTGGCGTTTATCTGCATTTGGGGAAGTACAATGCAGAGGGAGGGGAACATATAAGTATTATTACCATACAGGTGCAAATTAGATTTAAAAAAAAATGAAAGCAGCAAGAAGGGGTAGGGTGGAAAGAAGCAATAAGTAAAAAAAAAAAAAAGAAAGTAAGTATGAAAGTGAAAAAAAAAGGCAAAGGAGGATGATGATATGCTAATTTGGTTCGAAAGGAAAGAAAAAAGTTTTTGTCCTTAATCTACCTGAGCCCATATTTGGGTCCTCTTCTATGAATAAGCAAGATTACGTAACTATTTATATATATATATATATATATATATATATTATAATAAAAATAATAATTGATATATTTGAGAGAGGGAGAAAAGAGTTGGAAAGAGAGAAATACAATCGCATCTGGTGTGAAAAAAAGTGAGTGCAGAAGGAGAGTAACCGATGCACTTGAACGTGTTCCACATCTTGATGGAGTGGTTATGTTTTTATTTCTTTTTTTTCCATTTTTTGCTTTTCTTCCATCTCTTCAGTGATGATGTAGCTTCTGTGGCCTGGGATAATGAAAAAAGAAAAAAAAACTGAGAGCGTATATATATATATATACCTATGTATTAGGCATCTATGAGAATAAATTGTGACAAGAAACAGGGATGTGTTGTTTTTTTTTTTTTTTTTCGTTATTATTACTGTTATTATTATATTTGTGGCGTAGCGGAACATGAAGCTGGAGGTATGAGCTAGGGAGATAAAATGAAGAAATAAAAAGATATAAAAATAAAACAAAAAAAAAAAAATGCTATGTTCTTCGAATGAAGTGTGCACGTTTTCAGAAAAAATTATTTAAAAAAATGAAGTGATTTTGATGCTTTATTTTTATTGGATTTGATCTTGTTTTTTTTTTTCTTTTTTCTTATTAGAGATTATAGAGTGATGTTATAAGCTTTATTTCTACTTTACGTTGTTGTTGTTTTTTTTTTTTTTTTCTTTTCTTTCCCTTTACCTCTTTCCTTGCGTACTCTGTATGCATAAACCCAAAATGAAGGCATAGTGATTAATGAAATTGGCGAACACAGACCTGAGTGAGGCAGAAGAGTACGCCATATGGTGTGAACAGACGCGGGCTCTTTTTTTCCCCGTGGCCAATGGGAAACAGAGTGCAGAAGAGATACCCATGAATAGCAACAACGGCAGCAGCAGCAGTGGTAGTGGTAGTAGTAGTAGTAGCATAGATGTTAATATGAATGAGAATAAAGATAATGATGATTTCCCATACTGTTTTTATATGCGTATGCTGGGCTCTGGGAAACGAGAGTCCGACCAACAACAAGCCTCTGACAGTAGTTTTAGTCAAAATTACAGCCGAAGTAGTAGCGTTAATAGTCAATTCTCCTCTATTTCTCAACAACAGCGATACATAGACGAAGACGCTTACGCCGCTAGACTAACCTCAAAGTTACAAACACAAGCACGTGCTATTCGAAGAGAACAACGAAATAAAGTTCCTGATATTATACCGAGTGATAATGTTCAGTGGCCTTTCCGTGATGGGACGGTTGAAGCCATCGCAGCAACTGTAAATGAAGAACTTCATGAAATGCTTATGTATGTTCGAAAACGTAATCTTTTGTCTGAGCAACTACGACGACAATTAACGCAAACAAAGTTTCTTCTTGCTCAACAAAACGAAGCGTTACGAGAATAAATCAGTGATTTTTTATTTTCTGCGTTCAGAAGGAGGAGAGAAAGGAGAGAGGTGGGTGATTTTTGAAAATACATTGATAGTAGTAAAAAAACTATGTGTGGTATTACATTTTTTCTTCGTTTCTTTTTTTTTTTTTCTTTATTATTGTTATTCTTCATTGAGTGAACTTCCGATCGAAAGGACTCAAGAAATAATAAGTTCCTACGTTCTCTCACTCTCACTCTCACTCTCTCTCTTTCTGTTATTTCCATTATTACTCATGATGTGTGAGTATGACAAATTAAATTCTTTGTTATGACTTAATAATAATAATATTTTTTCTTTTGTCCCCCTCTTTTTTTTTCTCTTTAACTCCATATGTATATTTCCTTCTGTATTTTTTTTTTTTTTATGATGATGATTTATGACAATCCGGTTGTCTTTATTTTTTCTTTTCGTTCTTTTTTTTTTTTTTTTTTTTTTTTTCTTTCTCTCTCTCTCCACATATGAATGGAGGGATTCCTGGACTTTTCCTTGATTCTCTCAGTGATTATTAAGTTTATGCCGTATGGAGAATCAATGTGCTGCCGTCTCTGTCAATGAGAAGTCCGACGGGCGATCGACGCAGTTGACCCGCAACTCATTTATGCCCTCGTGGATGGCGGACCCGTCGTGGCTGCAGTCGATTGAGATCCCGCAGGATTACATGGCAGAGTTACTGGAAGAGAATATGAATGGATCATCAGGGGCAACAAACAAATTCCTTAACCCATCCAAACTTCGTCCCTCTAAAACTACAGCAGCAACCACTACCACCTCCACAACGTCATCATTATTACCAGTAGAAGGAAAGAGAGGAAATAAACCAAACGCCGTACTCTCTCTTTTAGAGACAGCACGTCGTACAATGACTTTATGGGTTGAAGATGATGGCGAGAAAAAAGATATGGAATCACAACATCAGCAGTTAATGTCCCTTCTTTCTGATTGTATCAAGTCCGTAACACAGCGTGCACCTTGGGATCCAGAAGAATATACAACAGAGATGCGAAAGAATATGTTGGAAATACTTCTTAAAAAGTTTCTTGATCAATCTCTTGATCCTGCCGCAGTTTCACTATTTGCAAAAGATGTGATTCGTCGTTCATCCGAAACAAATGTTGTACAAGAACTACAGTGTCTTTGTGTGGTACTTACATATGATAAGACGTGGAATGGTGAGGATCCGTACAGACAAGTAGAAAATTTTATCTCTTCAAAGGAATTTGAAGAGTTTAAAGAAGAATCTCTTGAAGAAGTAAAGAGACGACTTCATATGATGAATATTGACCTTAGTAAGAGGGACATAAATGCTACACGAGCATTGACAATTTGGAAGGATATCCATGGTGAACACCGTGGAAATTGTTTTGGTAACTCCATTACTCTCACTCTCACAAGTGTACGTCTTGGTGTCATAGACAAAGACCAAGCTTCCAATGATAAAGGTGGTAAAAAGGGATTACCAAAGAAAGTAAAAGCAACTTGGTTCCTTAGAGATAAAGATCGTGTTGTAAGTTCAGCGAAGGTACTAGGAAAGAATACTTTAAATGATAATGAATATCAGTGGAAAGGAGGAGGTAACCGTGCAACGCTTCTAATTCCAAAAGGAGCAAATAAACAATTTAAAGAGTACACTATCGTTTTGGAATTAACAGTCCGTAACGAGTCTTGTGTTTGTACTGGTCCCCGTGAGAAACTCTTGGCATGTGTTTCAATTAGTGTGGATGATGCTCTTTATGTAAGTGTAGCACAACTAGACTCTCCATTGCGTCAGAGAAGAAGTGAGCCAAGTAGTGAACCATTTGTAAGTGAACCATTTGGTAATGAAGATACGAAGATTATAGGATATCATTTTTCTTCTCTTCTATTATCATCCAATTCTAAATCTTCTAATACAGAGAATAATAATGATATATATCCATATGTGGTAGAATCTGCTAAAGCATTGTGTAGCATGCCTTGTCTTAATCAAGATCACAACAAGCGACCCCCTGTTATAGATGTGGAAAAAGAAATGGCTGCCGAAGAAGCTCATTCAAATTTATTCACATCAAATGTGAACTTGGATTCATTGTGTACCAACCATCATAAGAGTTTCTTACGGTTAGTTGATATTTTAGGTGATCTTGATGATACTTGTGTTTCTATTCTTAAGGCTTATACTCGCCGTTATTTAGTTCATGAGGAACTGGAGAATATCGCACTCCTTGTTTCAGTGTGTACAAGAAGTAATTTAGTAGATCGTACCTCTAGAGAACTTTGCTCTCATGCCCTAGAATCAATTGCAGATCTTAATGGACATGTAAGAACACGTATAGGGGGTCGTCTTTTAAAGGAAGCATTTGATACCACACATTCTCATATTTTTGACATTATTCTTTCTTTAGAGGATGTTCCTTCATCATCATCATCTGATTCTCTCCAAAAACAGGCTGCAGTAATTTTGAATGATCTCAAACAACTCCTCCTTATAATGTATCCAGAAATGGACTTCAACGTAATACTTAAATTAGAGGCACAGAAGGATGTACTACCAATGGTAGAGATGTTACTAAAACTAGATGGTCGTTTGCTAAGGGAGCACCGTCGTACACAGGTTCGTGAAACCAAGACAGATCTTCACATTCTACAACTTGATCAGCAGCAGGATAGCGTATTATTAACTGGTAAAACACGATTTCTACTTGAATTTATGAAACAACTATGTGAGAGATGTCAACGAGCCTTGTCTCTTACGAAGGGGCCGCGGTCTGCTGAAGTAATAGTAGTGATGCTCTGCCGTTTGGAGTGCATTTCCCACGATGTGTCCGACCCTTTACGAAGTGTTGTGAGCCGTCTTGTGGGGTGCCTTGCGCGAACACCCGATGTGGATCCTCTTGGCGATGCACTTGGTCTTGTGGTGGAGGTGTGTGGTGCGTTGGCGACTCTTGGGGGGTTGTTGCGTGGCGATAAGAGAGCGGCGGAGGTCTGCGGTGATTTGTTGTCGTGTTGCGACTGGTGCTGCTCGCAGATGCCGTTGTGGTGGTTTGCCCTCTGCGAGCCGCATGTGGGGGCGTGGGTCGCCGCCGTGGTGGCTGTTGATCATGAGAGGGAAAATGATGAGGAGGATCGTGATGGCGACAAGGGCGAGGCTTCTCTCTCGTGCGGTCTGGGACTTCTGCTGGATCTCCAGCGGGCGCTTCTCGCCGTGGCGGTGCGGATCCTCGCGTGGCTGCCGCCGGAGAAGAACTACGACGGGACCCCCGCCCTCGACACCCACGGGATTTACGCCGGCCGCTTCTTCGCCCTCCAGCGGGCCGTCGTGGAGGCCGCCGTCGACGCCATCGTCGCGCGGGGCCGAACCGGCCGTGGCCTCCACGCCGCCCTCGAGACCCGCGCGACCCTCCGCCAGCACGACGCCGCAGCCCGCGCCTTCACAGACGCCGACGTCCACGACGCTCTCGTGAGGAACAACGACCCGCACAATCTTCTCGAGCATGAAAGGCGCGTCAGCGCACAACTCACACACGCCACAATAATCGCAGCAGCGGATGACTTTTCACAACACATCCGAAACGACATGGAACGCACCGCCCTGAGTCAACTCGCAGATGTCGCGGCCCCGGAGGCTAATATAAAGCAGGCTGCCACACGTCTCGCTACTCATATAAAGGGAGAGTTGCAACTTGCGAAGCGCATTCTTGATAAGGATGACTTTGCAGAGTTCTTTAGTGAAGTGGCAGTACGAGCCTATTTTAATGCCTTTCAGCGCCTGCTGGATCAATATTCGGCGTCACCAATGCCGCCTGAACGTGTCCCATTGCTTCTACAGCTCCTGCACACGCTTGAAGAAGAACTTCAATCCGTGGTAGACATTGCCAAGATGGAGACGGAATCCGTCATTTCTATGAAACTTAAGACAAATGTAATGTCAGTTCTTTTGAGTGAATCAAGTGCAGCACTCGTGGAGATGGCAAATTCATCAGTTCTTAATGAGGTGGAACGGGAGCAGGTGACACGTATATTAAGGTTTCGCACCGATAATATCGCAAAGCAGTATATCCGCAAAGTAGGTGCCAAATGAACACGGGATTTACTATAACCTCCTTATTTGCTTTTTTATTTCTCTTTCTAAGCTTGCTGACTATATAAAAGAGGGGGAAGAATACCAATAACAATAATAACAAATTGATCATTATAATACGCTCTCATTATGCTTTTTTTTTTTTTTTTTTTTTTGCAAACATGTAATGCCAGATAACCTTTCTTTCGCACTTATTGATGCTTCTGATGACTGTTGTTGCTGTTGTTGTTTTCTTGTTTCCTGAAGTTGTACATTCTTCCTCTTATTATTATTATTATTATTATTATTATTATTATTTTGTTTTTCACCCTTTTATTGTTTGTAGAACACATCATCGTTAAGGTCCTCGGAATACCTTGTGAAAGAAGGATTGCCCAGTGTTTGGAGTCATACGTGGATATAGCGAAG